CATGCAGATCTGCTTCTGAAGCCATCCGTGATAAATTAAGACATACTGTTTTAATATTCAGATGAATATCTATGTCAAATCTATGCAGTGCTTAATAGTGAATATGTTGTATTACATATAGTTAAATTCTGTTATATTATGAAATGGGAATTATTCCTTTTATAGTGAATAAGTGATCCTCTGGGAAAAAGGAATAATCTCATTCTATTCAGAAATCATCCCTTAGACTGTAAGTTTTATGTTATTCCTAGAGTGAAAAGAAATTCAGTGTAAGTGGTCAAGTGGTATAGTGGAGCTGAATGGCTCTTTAGTGGAGGGCTTTCTGTTTTGCTTCTGAGATGGTGGTTCTTCCTGACCTATAAGAAAAAGCATTCCCTTAGGTAGTGTATTTCCTACAAGGTGAATGCTTGGATAATGTTATTTTGAGGGCTGGGTTCCAACTTAAGCCTTTTAAGGCAAGCTTCTCCTAGCAAGGATCCTGGAGCTGTCTAACATTACCTAAGGCTTAGTTTGTAAAGTGAGAGAGGTTAACTCATTTCAGTTTGTTTCCCTCTAGACAGATTTATTAATAGCCAGTTCTGTATGGTCAGAATCTTCTTTAAAAGCAAACCACAGAGTAAGGACAGGGATCAGGCCCAAGATTATATGTTTACATACTGGATGCAGATGAGGTAATTGAGGCAGTAACAAAGAACATTTGACAACATCCTTGCTGTGTCTGTCAAGCGACTGAAGGAGTCTTTGCCCTTGGATGCTTCTTGTGTCCTAATTTTATATTACAAACTCCATATTAATGTTAAAAACACTAAATTTAGAGGTTTAGCTGTTTTTGTGACTTTACTAATGGGATTTAACTTCCCTTACAGTAGCAAATTTCTAGAGGAGGATTTTGTACGACAACTCTTTTGTTGCACAAGGCTTCATTTTTTAATTCTAAGGGGTGTTATTGGCACAAAAAATTGGGCAAGTCTGTCAGATATTTGTGCACACTAAAGAGGCACTGAACACAATACAGATGGTAATAACTTTTTGCTAATGTGAAAAGAATGTTTTAGTTAAGATCTGGAAGGTTTACTGAAACTGACTGATCTATCACTCCTGTAAAAGAAGTGTGGACAAGAAAATACTTACTAAAACGGTAAAAGACTAGATATCCACGCATTTCTTGTCAATCATCAAGAGCACTAATTGGTTTGTTTTGTTTGTACTTACCCCTTATTAATTTACAGCATTGACCAAATGGGCTATGTTCTCAATTAAACGTCATTCAGCACTGTATTTAGAGTTATAGCTTGTGCTCAGTTTCATTTGACAATAAATCAAAAGCAGATGTGGATATTCATACCAAAGAAACAGGTTCTCAGGATCCTTTTAAATTCCTAGTACCATTTAGTGGGCTTTTAAACTGTATTTATTGAAGAGCATGACGATTTATGAAGGGACTGCAAAGCCTTGTCATGAAAAAAAGTCATCTTTATATAGATACAGTCCATGAAGTTGGCAGGGACTGGTGAAATACGTGGAATGATCTCTGTGTGTGTTCATAAGTTTAGGGGTTAAGTGAACACACATTTAAAAATATATGATATTTCTGTTGGGGAAAAGAACAGCTTTCAAAATCACTTTCTGGAAAGGAAAGGAGAGAGGTTTCTCAGAATAGAGGAATGTGAGTCAGGGTTAGAGGAAACAAAAATTATCTGAAATGCCACACAAATATTGGAGAGAAGAGGTAGAGTAATGTGGAGTGATACCTGGATTGTCAGCAGCTCTGGATGGTGGCCTGTGTCACTGTGCTTTCACAAAAAGAAGCGAAACACTAACTTGACCACCAGACATACACAAATTATTTAAAAATAGACTTTGGTCTCCCCTCCACCCCGTGCTGAATGTTTTTTTCCTTCCCTTGTTATTTCCCTCTGCCGTTATACAGCAGGGATTCTGTGTCTAGAGTTACAGCTGCAAGACATGAGGGCCAAGCTGTTCAGTGGTTTTGTTTTGTTTTGATTTCTAGGGGCAATATGTAGCAATCTTGTCTGTTTGTCTGTCTGTTTCTCTCTTCAGATCCCCTGATGCCTGAATATTCAAGTCTTCATGTAGCAGGAAGACAGCTTCATGCTCTTTTACCTGTTAGCTCAGTTTGTGTCTGTGTGTGACAGAAGTGCTGTCCTGAAGACGTAATTGCCCTTTGAGATGCAGAGAACAAAAAGCTGTTTGCTGCTTGCCTTGTCTGAAAGTCATCTAGCTAAGGTGTATTTTCCCCTCAGAAATGGTCATTTGCTCCTCAAAAATGGTCTTTTACTGATGCTTCCCACTTACTCAAACCCTCATCTTTTAAGAGGGCTTGGTAAGCATTTGTTCATGGGATCAGGAACTTTCTTGATCGCACAGAAAGACATGGAGAGTTTGTGTTTCAGCAGTTTCAGAGGACATTTTTCGCAGTCTAATTTTGTAAAACAGAGATCCTTGGTAATTTACTAAGCAGAATTATCTCTGTTGTCCTGGCTAGACTACTGAGGCACAAGCTAGTTGGTTCATTGTTCATGCCGACATGTTTCTGTATTTATGGAAAACATGGAAGTTTGATTACTGTCTGAGTATCAATTGCTGAAGGGCTAGGGCAATGTGTAATGCCATCCACTACCTTCACCTCCAAAGTTTGTGCACCTTCGTGTTATGCACAGGGAAACAGATGCTACAGAAATTGCAAAGCTACATCCTTCCAAAATTAAGCTTTGTTCCCCTTTCTGTGCATGTTATGACATAATCACGAGTTGAAATGGTATGCTGCTAGAGCAAGCTGCTTGTAGATGGGATCTTCAGAGAATTGCACTGACAATCTCTGTTACGTGTCTTAATCCTATGTAAGTTGTGGGTTTTCCTCAGTTACACATATTCCACAACTTGAGTGTATTTGGGGCGTACTTTTCCACCTTTATTATGTGATTTGCAGATTGAAAGTTCTTTCTTCAAAGTTCAGAGATGCTGTGGTTGCCAAAATCAAAGTATGGATGGAACATATGTTTTTTTCATCTTGTTTTTCAAAAAAAAGCCCTTTTCACTGAAACAGCGTGAGAGAAACATCCTGAGTGGAGAATTTCATCCTGAATACTTAAGAAGTTGGATAGAAGTTTAAGTTGCTTATATTCTATTTTAAAATAGCATAGTTAATGCTAAATATGTTAATTATATGTTAATTATAAATAGCATTACCCTCTCTGCCTGCAATGTCCCTTGTTTTATAGCATCAGTTTTACAATCCATTTTTAAAATAAGACATTTGTACTTTTTTTCCTATTTGTCTTCATGTTGTCTTTTGTCTTGTCTTTTTTCTTCCTGATTCTTTTCATTCTAGCTTTCTACTTCATTCTACTTTTTCACTTCATTCTGGTTTTCCACTTACGACTTAAACAATATGAGGAACGATAGGTTTGATTTGTGAAGGGTATTTTTGTCCAAGAGAATTTGGTTTCACTCCCTTTGGGTTTTGATAGAAGCAGTAACAAAATCAAGTCCAACAGCAAAACATTGCTTGGCAGTCTCTCAGACCACAGTGTCAATGGTATATGCTTTGATTTGAGGTCTGTGTACTTGTTTTTGTGTAGTATCTACCTGAAATCAGTGAACTGACAAATCAAAACAAATGGTCCTGAAATCAAATCGTCCTGACCTGGCTTACTGAGAAGGGATATAAAAACTCTGCGGGTTATTTAGACTCACCTAGACTGTATGCTTTTGTTTGAGCTCAAAGGCAGATGATTTTACTTCATAAGTTTTACTTTAAGATTTTGTAATAAAACTACTCAACTCAGGTCACCTCCATTTTTGGAATTTGTGTTTGTTAAGGGTGGCTTAAATACATTTACCTACTCGTCATACAACAACATGATTTTTGGAGTATCATTCATAGGACTATCAAATGTGGTCTTTTCTATTGATTGTAGCATGGTACGATCTATTATTGAAATAAACATGGTACTTATTTGCCTGCTACCAAACTGAAGGTCAGAATCTAATTCCTTCTACAGAAGTTCACAAAGGAAGGAGAAAGTACACCTTCACAATCCTTTGCTTTAGGGCTGCAGTCAGCACCTGACCACCAGTAGGATATTGGTAGTGGTCCCATATTTACTCAGACTCTGACAGATAGTGGCTAATCAGCATGGTAACTTCATGGTTTCTAGTCCATGGCATGTCAACATTGCATTTTCGGAGGCGCTCTGCCTGTCATCCAAAAACAAATGTACTTAGAGAGTAATTAGCAGTGCAGTAGTGCACTGTCAGACTGGAGGGATGGGCAGGAATCTGTGGCGTTTGTTCTCACTCAGGCGCTACTGAGTAGTGTCACAAGTGTTTTGTGTGAAGTATTAGAAAGAATGATCCTTAATCTATAGATGGCAGCAGGGTGGAAGGGACTACAAGCAGTTTTGATGCCATAATGGACAATCTGAAGTGATGCTAGCAAACCATTGTAAGGGAGAAAAGGACAGTTCAACGGGAATGATGGGAAGTGTTGTGCTGGGGTTAAAATAACCAACTGTCCAGATGGTTGTTGAGAAAAGACTAAGAATAAATCAGAAGTGTGGTTTATAATTTAGTGGATCGAAACGTAAGATTATGTTAAAATATGTTAGATCATATTTTGGGTCTTGCACTAGATTTTCAATGTTTGGATTACCTGTTTAAGCAGAAGACAACAAAGTTGCTAAAGCACTGGTCAGAATCATTGCTGTCTGATTCATAGGTGACTATCACTCATTTCAGATGGTGTTGTGATTTCTGTGATTTTGCAGATTGTGACTGCATTGTAAATTAGTGGTTGGCCTTGTTTAACCACAGGCTCTGCTTGCAGCTGGTTCACCTTTGTTATAGCGGGAGATCTTGCAAGGGCCTAATTTATCTGTATAATTCAAATAAAAGGAGTCACATCATGAGGGAAGTAATGTACAGATCAACCACTGTTAACTCTTTGCTGAGGTGTGCAATTTCATTTTCTCTTCCAGCAAATATTGCGGCATGCCCGTGGAAATTCCACAAAAGTGATATTTCTCATTACTGATGGATATTCCAATGGGGGAGACCCAAGGCCCATTGCAGCATCCTTGCGTGAATTTGGAGTGGAGATCTTCACCTTTGGGATATGGCAGGGGAATATCCGAGAACTGAATGACATGGCATCCCACCCAAAAGAAGATCATTGTTACCTTCTTCACAGTTTTACTGAGTTTGAAGCTCTGGCGCGCAGAGCTCTTCATGAAGGTATTAATGTACTAACGTCAGAAATCTACAGAGAGCAGAGGGGTCTGAACAGAAAGATCTCCAGTAGTGTCTTGCACTTACATGTCATGTAGTGTTGATTCCCTTTTGTTTCCTCGTACATTCTAGCAGAGGTGTTTGTTCCTCCATTAAAAGGATAAATTTTATTTGACTAACTCATCATAAACAAAATGTGAGCAAAATTCTCCTCGTTGATGTATATACGTATTTACATCCATTCAGCTCTTCATTTTGTCCATGAAGAACAGACTGTATTCTTAGCCTAACGTAGCTTGTGCTGGGATGGATGAACCTTACATGATTGCCCTCAAGAGGCACCTAGTATACACTTCAGGACTAGACATAATACCTTTTGGTATCTTACATAACAACAAAATTTAGTCTGCTCAGAACTGATTTAGAACTCTCTGTGTAAGAGTAAATACAGTTTGTTTTTATGACCTTATACATTCAGTAAAACTGGCAAGTGCAAGCGATAGAATGAGTTTGGACTGTGGTTTTACCCTATTTTAATCTGCTATATTCTAGAAAAAAAAATTCTTCCTGAAAAATAGAGCAGGTTTAGACAAGCGAGAACACACAATGAAACATTTGTTTGCAAGGCTTGACTGAGGCTTAGAAATGCATTTTCATGCCTTAGACTAGCCATTTGCATGAACTTGCTACAATTTTTAAAAACATGCGGCTTTTAAATAAGCAGGGCTTTACTGCCTTTCTGGTGCGTTACTTCTATCCTGTTTGTTCCCAGTAAGGTTGGATTGGTCTATGTGAATGTGCCAGAAGAAAGACTTGGGTTTTTTTGTGGTATGACCAACTGGTTACACATGCCATGACCAAATACTCTTCTGATGCCAAATCTGGCATCCACCAAAGCTGGGAAAAGCTGTCTCAACAGCTTCTGTTGGGAGTGAGACTGCGTTCTGGCAGTGTTAGACTGAAATGAAGCCAAGTGAAAAAATTTGAGTGCACTATGGATTTCAGTGAGCCTTTTTCCAGAACAAGGACACCAATTTATTTTCTTTATTACATTTTGAGCATAGCAAGGCTCTGCTTCACGCTGATGTCACTACTGCTTAGAACTGGAACTTAGGGTTTTTAACAAACATTCCACTAGTGGCATAGTATGAGGCTTGTGTGAGAACTTCTGTTTGAATTTTTTGTTAATAAGTTAATACTATTTCAGACCTACCCTCTGGCAGCTACATCCAAGAAGATATATCGCATTGTTCCTATCTCTGTGAGGCAAACGAAAACTGCTGCGACGTCATGGCAAGCTGTAAATGTGGTACTCACACTGGCCAGTTTGAGTGTATATGTGAAAAAGGGTACTATGGGAAAGGACTACAACATGAATGCACAGGTGAGTCTCATGTCTCAGTATTTGGGTTTCTCTGTATGCCCTGAATACGTGGCTAATCCAGTTGAGAGTGAAAAGATTGGTTTGGGATTATGGATATGAACCTGGATCAGAATGCGTCCAAGTCTGGAAGACCCTCTGACTGAAGACACAGAATAGCTCTAGCAGTTAAACTCACCTCATACCTTGTCTTCAGCAATAGCTCAAAGAGATGCACAGGAAAGAGGTAAGAATCGGGCAAATGTTCTGACAAAGTAAAACTTCCTTAAAACGCAGCACATCAGAAATTTGTTACTAGGAGTTTACCAAGTCTCAGGTAATATGTTTTGCTCATAGTACCTATTTCCTTCATGAATTTTTCTAATCACATTTTGAGCTTTCATAAACTTCCCTGTTTGCAGAGGGGCTATATATCTGGATCTTGGCAGGATAAATTCTTGGCAAAACTTACAGTCAAGTAAATATGCTTTAATTCCCTCATGTTGACTTTCAATTACTAAAGAGGAAGAAAGCATTTGGGTCACTAAAGAGAAACTTGTCATCACATTTTGGTGAGATTGTTTTTGTTACTACTTTTTGGAAATGTCCTTTTAATAGTATGCATTCAAAGTCTATGGTTAAAATGATGGCACTTTACAATTATTTGCTGAAGTATTGTATTATATTATATTCCCTGCCAATTAACACATTCTAATTCACTTAGTGCTTCTGGAACACCTTTCCTTTGTTCTATAGGCAGGCAGGAATTCACTGAGGTTTGAGTGCAACATCTGTAGAGGAATGTAGTTCAGAATTGATGTCAGCACTGGCACATGGCATCAGAATCATATTTTATGTAAGTGGGTGCAGCTTCCTTGTGTGCTCAGTTAACTCTTAACAAAGACTATTCCATTTTGCTTATTTTCAGTTGTAAATCTAATTTATTTTAAATCAAATTTTCATAGTATTTTTTTCATTTGTCATTAAAGTCAATTTCCTTCACCTCAGGTGCCCTAGTAATCTATTGAAAAAAATAGATACAGCATTTCTGCCTCTATCAGTAGCTTGTGTCACTAAATATTGTTTTGAGCTATTCCTAAAAATAATGGGCCATCAAAAAGACTCTTTTGATGCGGTGAGCACACCTTTCAAGCACCACCAAAACTGGTAAAAGTCAGATGTCTTTAAAGGGATGCTTTGCAGCTGCAGACAAAAGTTGCATTTTTACTTCTTTGGCAGGTGCTTCTGAAATAAGTTTGTAGAAGGGGGTTGTATTAGATGATTGCAGCCATCTGCTGTGTATGTGAAAGTAATTGAAGTTGCATACATGTATTTTAGGGGGAATTTGACCTGAGTAACTCAAACCTGTTCTTTATGTCTGCTCTGTTCAACTGCTGTATTCTTCAAGACAGATTAAAAAAACGTAGAGTATGTGTTCTTTGAAGGAAAAATGGCCTATTTTGAAATCTTTTATTCTGAAAAGGATTCCAACCTTTTTTTTTTTTTAACATTTCACAGCTGAGCATAGCTGTGGGTTTGTAAAGCTGTTGACTGGTAAAGCATAAGGAATCTTAAGAATGCATCTTAACTTTTCTTCACTGTATAATGTGCAAGAGGACTTGTGGCAAGTTTACAATGACAGGACTTCAATTTTAATTGAGCTACTTTTAGCTTTTGTTTGGTTAAACATGCAGATAGTCCACTAGCCTATGTTTGTTTAATACAGTAAGACTTTTTTTAAACAGTTTTCATTGAGATGGGAAATTGTTTTTCCGCTGTTATTTTTGCTATTTTTGCTATATTTATCTGTTATTTTTGCTATTTTGTTTATTTTCTGTGAATATTTTCTGTATGCACTTGTCTTCTGCATTATACCACTCTGTGGTTTTAAATATGAGGCATCAGAGGAACATGCAAAAATCGTCATAATAAAAATTCATAACTACCAGAAATTACTCTCTAGGAAGCTTCTATAAAATAAAATAGCCACATGCTTAGTACCGAAAAGTAGAAATTGGCTTCAGTGCCCTCCTCCTGTTCTTTGTAATAATGTTCATGATGTGCCACAGGAGGAGGAACAGACTGACTGTTTTCTGTTTCAAAAAGCAAACCAGACAAAAGCTTCTTGGCCCACACTAGGAGCTTCATGTGGCCAGAGATGTCTGTGACAATTGTGGCAGAGGAAGGGAGAGAGAGGAAGAAGGGAGGCAGTATTGTGGTCGGTCCCAAGTATTGTAAAGTACATGAACACCTCTTCTTCAATACTCTTCACTTTTTCTTCTCCTTCTTTCCCTTGATTACAAATATTGAGTTTCAAACTAGACAACCAAAGAAAAATTCAGAAATCAGCAAAAATAAATTTCGTGAGTTTCACTAAGATTGTGTCTTCCATTTCACCAGTAAAAAGGTGACCTGTTCAAGGTAACTGCACCTTTTATAGAAGAGTAAAACAAATGTCCAGATCTCTATTTGTGTCTTCTTCTCTGTCATAGAAGATTAGGATATACGTTTTTAACACAGTCTTTTCACAGGCTGTGGGTTTTTTTTGGCAAGACTCTTCTGGTAAAGTTCTATTTTAAGATACAAGATGATGCAAATAAAGGATGATACCCATCATGTTCATCTCATCAATTACTCCTAAGCCCAACCACGGTTACTGGAGAGATTAGGAAATTGTTGTATTATAACTACTAGTTTCTTTTATATAAAATGTAGACTCCATTTTCTGTATCCATGAAGATGATGTGTAGTTCACGGGGCAGAACTAGTAAATTAATTCCATGTAATCTAGGCTGGTTTTTTGTTCTTTTGTTTATATTTGGTTCACTGTTTGGCTATAATTATTGAAATGTAGAATTTCATCATAGATATGAGTATTTAATAGGCTGCTTAGGCTTTTATTTAGAAATATGCAGCATATCAGTCATCATATGCACAACCACTAGGGCAACAGTTTTTTCTTCAAAACACCACATGGTTTAGATCTGTAAAGAACCTTTCCAACAAAACCTGAAATAATATGAAGACTTTACTTTTTTTTTTTTTTTTACAAATTTTTATTCAGAACACATTCACTGAAAAGACTTTGAACTGAGAAAATGTAGGTCCAGCAAGGCAGGGGAGATTTGCATTTTCTGGTTTCTTGTGTTGTGGACCCAATTTTCAGCAGAGCATTTCTTCCATGAGATTTTCAGGATTGTTCCTGTTAAGAATGCAAAACAAACCCCGCTGTTCATAAATTGGATAGCTTTCGAGTTAGAAAAAAAAATTTGTGTTTAGTATATTACTAGCAGTTCTTTTCTTAGTCACACAGAAAGAACTTTACTTCCAGCGGTGATTCCAGGAGCCTAGTCAAAGAAAAGTAAACATCTCTTCTGCCATGCTGTCTGTTTCCTCCCTTCCTTTTGAGAGGAGCTTCTACCCCACAGGAGGCTGAATCACCCTTTCTCAATATTTCTTTATGGGAGCTGTTTCTTTAGCTATCTTATAGGAGTTACTGGCTTAATGAAGCTTTGCCAACCATCTTGAACTTACCAGACAGTACTTGGAAATTTTCACTGAGTTTACAAGATCCCTTCAAGTCCGAAGGGATCCATACTTAACAAGACATGTAATAACATACCTATATTCTTCAGTAGGTGCCTAGAATGAATCTGGAGGAGAACCACCAACAGCACTTTGAGATTCCCATAGACAGGGAGTGAAAAGAAAGCAAGAAAAGGACTGTGAAAAAGAAAGTGTACAAAATGTTTCCAGACATAGTAAGATTTCAGGCTAAATTTGCCTTTGAATCTGAAGGTTTGAATTAGTTCACAGAACTGCAGATTTTTAAGCTCTTAGAACTTAGGTTCTTGCTCTCTCACAAAGCAATGCTATTTAATGCTTTCAGTCATTGATTCTGCATCTTAAAACTTGGCAGAAGTTTGTTTTGATTCCTCTTTTCTCCTTTGCTTTTAATTTATAAATCAGAAAAATACTCTTCAGTTCTAACTTAGCTGTCACTCCAAGGAGGCTCCTTGTGAGACCTGCAGCAATTGAAAACTGACAAATTGAAAAAGGAGCCTTTCTTTGAGGAAAAAGTTAAATGGCTACTACTACTGTGTTGTTTTGTGTCACATAAACCTGCAGATCTTGATAAACAAAAAGAAGAAAGCAAATAAAAATTGTAAAGAGGATAAGTTAGAAAAACTTGGATTACAGCTGAGCAAGGAAGTTTGGATGTACATGCTTAATGAAGCGTTAATGTAATGCTTACAAAACCTGATCAGTTTGGAAAGACTTGGGGGTTAGAGTCACCTACTGTAGGGACAGAAAGGCTTTATTGGAGAGACCTTTTTCTGTGTACAACATCTGTCAGTCAGTGATTCTCTCCTTTTATTGAACAGTTCTCTAATCAGGAACCCATTTCTGTAACCCTTTGGGAGATGAGATAATTTGCTATACTTTACTCTTTGATTTGTAATTTATTTGTTTTTTAAAAATTATACTCCCAAATTTAGTCTTCTTTTGTTAGGGCTTCTGTTGAGTGACTTCTTGTCTGTGACAATATGCAGAGGTTCTGTTGTGAAAAAATGATTGGCTGTCATGTAAAGATGAGGGATCTAAACCAAGAGAAAGGATGCAAACTACTCGTGACTAAGCAATGGTGAATCAATGTCTAATTAATACTAGTAAAAATATTCCCTACTGCCATTCTATATATTTTTTTCCCCTTTTTTATAAATCTTGTGACTCTTTATGGGTAGCAGTTTGAGGATAACATTATGATGGTTAAATACAGAAGAAATGTAAATGTGTTTTTCTAGTGAGGGTATCCTTTTGTGATTAAACTCTGCAGTAACATGATAGGTGATTACGGGAGAAATGTAAATCGATCTGCTTTTCCACTGAGAGTGCTGGAAGACAAGTGGATGAGAAAGGTGAATATAAAAAACAAGTGCTATACACAAGGGTATGGAGATTTAGTAGGTTAATTATATTTTTAAAAATCTTTTCAAGACTTAATAATGCAAAACCATTAATAA